TGAGGAACTTGGCTCCTCCTGACCAGGTCAGGGAGCAGGGAACGCTGCCCTCTACTTCCCTATCAAATACAGGCATAAAATCTGAGGCCAAAAAGAGGTGGTGCCAATCCTGGGCTCTCAGCAGATGGGATGATCTTGGCTCATTGGAGCCTGGCACAGCCTGCAGGGCTCCTGATGCAAGACCCAGGGTAGGAAAATTTGGGCTGGATGGGCAGGGAGAGGGAGGAGCCAACCACAGAGGTCCCGCCCCCTCCCTCTCTGCTCCGCCCAGCTCTCCCTCTTTCTGGGAGGAGCCTCTCCCCTATCCTCAACCACTGCTTTTCCCAGAGGCCAGGACAGAGAGAAGTTTTGCTGAGTTTAGCAAACATTGCAAAACTGTGTTGGGAAGGGTGGGGAGGAGAGCAGAGGACAAAGTGAGGATTGTCACCAACCCTCTGTAGGAAGCCCAGACCTCTCCCGAGGTAGAACAGCGGACAGTTTCCTGCAGTACCCCTCCTTAACTTTACTCTCCATGGCGGGCAGCCCAGGGGGTAAGGAAGATCTCTCTATTCTGGAATCTGCTTTTGGTGACTCCCTCCTGCCTGGTTCTGGCTCAGGATGCCCCAAGCTTGCATTCTTCAAAGGCAAAGATGCAAAAATGCCAGGGGTCCTCAGCCTGCTACCCAGGCAGCACTTGAAGAGGAGGACTAGATGGCAGGAGAGACAGATCACATCCAGGAACAGTGAGCTCCTTGACAAAGCCCCTGCCCCCTGTGAGGCCCGCAGGTGGATCATGCATATCCTGGAGTGGCTGGCTTCTGGAAGAGATGTCCTGGGGCCCAGAGGAGATGGAGTAGCGGTGCTGGGTTGTGGGACAGGGAGGAGGGTAGGAAGACACCTACATGGAGAAGTTGGTGATGAAGGCTTTCTTGGGCAGCTCCATCTCAAAGATGGCCTCCTGCGCTTCCTCAGCCTTGTTCACTACCCGGCTGGTGATGACTGTATGGGCAAATCGAGAAGAGACCTTGGAGTCCACGGTGAGGCTGTAGATTTGGATGCCATTCTGGATCAGCAAAGGGAAAGTATGTCAGAGTATTTCAGTGCCACTCATTTATGCAACACTTTGAGAGTGAGCCTTGACCCTGGCTTCACACCAACCTCTGCTTCTAGCCTAACCAACTTGCTGATCAGGCCTCAGGCCAAACTTAGGGAGATATTTCACATATGAACATGCATGGAGAATAAGAGACAGCTACAAGCTTCATTCCCCACCCTATAGCACCATGGGCAGGGACCATGTCCATCTTGTTCTATGGAGGCCTACAGCACCCCAGAGGGAACAGCAAGCAAGTGGGCAGCACCCCAAGAAACGACTCATGTGCACACATGCAGAGCCTCACATTTCCCTGTGTGTACCATGCTCATGCACACACCAGTGTTGCTCAGCTGCATATGGCTGCACATGTGTGTGTTTTAGCACAGAAGTGCCAAGTGGCTCATTGACAGCCTGTTAGCTTTGTGCCCTGCACACTACAGAACACTTTACAGCTATCAGGAGCTCAGTTTACACAACAATCATCTGAATAGAATCTGTTAATACCCTGTTTTACAGATAAGGAATCTGCGGGAGGAAAGCAAAAAGAACTTCCCTGAGGGTCATTCAACCAGGGAAAGGAAGAGCTGGGCTGGTAAACCTGCATCCCTACCTACCCAGCTCCACTACCGGTCCCTAGGAGCAACTGGTTACACTATATTCCCTCATCTGTAAAAGGGAAATAATAAGATCATCCTTCCTATTAAGCAGGGGTGGGGATACCCATAAGGCCCTGGGGGTAGAGCTGATGGATGGTCAGCACTGTTTCTTTGCGCGCGCGCGCCCGCACACACACGGACCCGTACTCCTACTTAAATGCTTGCATGCTCTCAGAGGTTCTCTCCCACTTTGCAGTCATGTTTTCTCTTTCCCCAGCTCATATGCATCCCTCCCGCACCCCCAGGCACCCATGAGGACCCCCTACCTTTTGGGCCGAGGCAGTCTGAAGGACAGCCAGCAGCAAGGGCAAGACTAGCACAATGCTGCCGATGTGGGCAGGGACTGGGACCTTCATTTTGGCTCCAGTGCCTGCCTGCCAGGCTGCTTCTGAACCTGAGAGCAGATGGGAAATAAATTAGTAACTGCTCATTGCTCCGCCCCTGCGGGGGCAGGTTCTGGGAAATTGGGATCTATAAGCCAAAACCCCCAGAGGCCTCAGATAAGCAGGCAAATGACCAATGTCCAGTGAACTTTGGCTGGGGGCAGAACATATCCTGAGGAAAGGCTCAGGGTGGAGTTGGGTATTGGTGCCCCTTCTTTTTTTGGTTGGGGTGTTGGGGGACAATCCTCTACCACTGAGCTACATCTCTGGTCCTTTTTATTTTTTATTTTGACACAGGGTCTTGCTAAGTTACCCAGGCTGGCCTTGAACTTGCAATTTTGGGTTATGGGACAGGGAGGAGGGTAGGAAGCCACCTACATGGAGAAGTTGATGATGAAGGCTTTCTTGGGCAGTTCCATCTCAAAGACTCCCCATTAGCTGGGATTACAAGTATTTGCCATCACACGCAGCTTTTAAATTGGGTTTCTTTTTCTTTCTTTTAAAATTTTTATTTGTTTATTTTGAAGTACTGGGAATTGAACGCAGGGCCTTGTACATGCTAGCAAGTGCTCTACCACTGATGTATACCCCCTAGTCCCTGGGACCTCTTCTCTCTTTTTTTTTTTTTTTGGTTCTGAGGATTGAACCCAGGAGTGCATTTACCACTAAACTACACCTCTGGCCCTTTTAATTTTTATTATTTTTATTTTGAGACAAGTTCTCACTAAGTTTCTCAGGATTCTGCTGAGTTACTGAGGCTGGCCTACAACTTGTGATCCTCCTGCCTCCACCTCCTGAGTCGCTGGGATTATAGGTATGTCCCACTGCCTGGGGCTGGAACCTCTTCTAAAAAGTCCAGAAGCTCCCTAGGTACCACGACCCCTCAAACCAGTCATCCCACCAAGTTTCATAGTGTTGGAGCACACAATAGTGAAGAGGAAGGGGACACTCTCTATAACTCCCATCCTGGGAGAAAACAGGAACTGGCCATTTTAGGTAGATTTCTGGGTAATGGGGGCCTGGGAAGTGCGGCTGGGAAGTGGTGGCCCTGAAGGCCTGAAGAGGCCCATAGAAGTGTGTGAGAGGCCCAGGCAGGATGAATAGGAGGTGCAGAAGCCCTTAAGCCCTTCTTCTTCCTGGGTCTCAGGCTGCTGTTTGGGCTCCATTAATCTAGCCAGGGTCCTAAGGATCAACCCCAGCTGGGCCCCAAAATTTGACAGCACACACCAAGAGCCAAAGAGATGCACAACCCATGGCCCATGGTAGTCTACTGAGTCGAGCACAAGAGCCAGCTGCATAGAGTGCTCTTGAAGCAGGTGCATGAGCAGGGTGACGGGTGTCCTCAGGGGGCCTGAGAGGGCACAACACTGATGTTGCCAAAGCCGTTAGGCAGCTAGTCCCCAGGTGTGGGTTAGGTGAGGTTCTTAGTGTCTTTTTTTTTTTTCAATCCACCTTTAATAAAGTTAAAGTGCTGCTTTTATAATAAATAGCAATAAAAATTGAACAAATATTAGGTGCTCTGAATGCAGCTGGTGTGTTCCCTGGTGGTTCTAGGGAGGTCAGCTCCTGAGTCTGTGGACACACAGGGGTCAAAATGAATCATCAAAGAGAATGATACCAGTGACTCAGTGATACCAGCTGCTGTGGGGCCCACACAGTGCCCTGGAGCAGTAAGAGGCTTTCAGAGGGCTGGGGCAGTGTCTCTGCCATCAGCCCTTCCTCAAAGCTGATGGCATCTAGCCCTGGAGAAAGCTTCGTAGACTTGGGAGTGAATTCTGTGGCAGCAAGGAAAACTTCCTTCTTTTTCAGCACAGCTATGGCCAGAGCGCACCTCTGTGCACATCCATACTGTTAACTCTTTTGGCTCTACATAGGATTGGGGTTTCACAGGGAGACATATGCCTTTGGTATATGGGAAAGAGCCTCCCCAAGGGGCTCAGTGAGCAAGCCCAGACTCTGTTCCCACAAGAGATCTGCTCTCCTGGGGCACAGGGCTTCGCACATACAGGCTTAGCCTGGAGCCCGAGCTATATAAGGAGGCCAAGCTGGTTTGGAACGTGGGAAAGGCTCTCTGCAGCCATCTCCCCCTGCTCAGGGGACAGGAGGGGCTTCTCAGTGGCATCAGCCTTGAGCCAGGCACTATGATCCCAAGCCCTGCCAGTCTAGTCCGAGGAGGAGCCTATCAATGATCCTGTCATCACAGCTAGACAGGCCTTGATGATCCTTGAATCTAATAGTTCCATGCACACTGGGGACACTCCAGCTGAGATCCTGGTGTTCCCATGCTCCAGGTAGTATGGGGGAGGAGTAGAAAATAGGAGGCTCACCCTGTTGTTTGGAAGGGGAGGAAGTAGCTTAGGACACTACGTGACTCTGGCCAGGGAGGAACTTTGGCCAGGGAGGAACTTTGGCCAGGCTCTCTCTTTGAGGAGACTTTGGATCATAAGGGAGCATGAAGAGGGTACAGGAGGAGTGGGCTTTGGAACCTACGCCCCACAGGCCTTGGGGTCCTTGGATGCACCTTAATGGATTCCATGTGGGGAAGGGAAGAGCCCCAGATCTCCAATGACTTCACTGTAAGTGGTGTTGCTATGACCTCCTTTATGGAATAGCTCAGCCCCCCTGTTGTATACAAGGGGAAACAGGATCAGAAAAAGGGGAAGAGGCTGGTCTAAAGTCACACAGAAGGTTAGCACCATGTCTCTATGTCTCTAAGTCCAGATTCTTTCTAGTACATCTCAGTGGCCCCAATGTCACATGCTTCATCCCCTGGGGCCACCCAAGAGCCCGGGAAAGGGAACAGAACATATTCCCATGCCCTTTCCCATTCCTCACTCTCCTCTGCAGTTAGTAGCAACCATGGCCAGTGATCAACCAACACCCTCCTAATGCTGAGGCCACTTGGGCATACTCTTTATTGGTGTTTCCAAGGTTCTGGTGCAAAGGGTCAGGGCTGTGGGACAAGGGCGGCGGTCCCAAAGACATCTGGGAAGAAAGACATATTCTGGCATAAAAAAAAGTTCGTGGGAAAGGCTCCTGTGTCCAGGTGCTTGGGATGGAGGGGGTGCGATGAGCACTTCTCAGCCAAAGACACTCTTGGCAGGTCCAGCTTTGGGCTTCTCAAAGACAGTCTCAGTGCCTGTGCGGTCACGGCTGAACACAGATGGGGCGACCGAGCCAGCTTGCTCTGTGGGAAGGAGGTAAGGGAGGTACCGTTAGGGACCAGAGCTGGCTTCCTCCTAGGGAAGGCCCCTTGTATTGAGAGCAGCCCCTCCTGAGCCCAGAAGCTCTGGATTCTCAGAAAAGAACCCTTGACACCGACCCCACAACAACCATAACCCCATGTCAGATTGCAGCCCACTTGGAGGACACTTACCACACTCCCGCATAACCTGGTAGGTCTTGGACTTGATTGCCTGGTTCTTGGCCAGGTTCCCTCGGGCCCCCTTCAGGTCTTCCTCCTTCACAGGGGGACGCTTCTTCTTGATGGGGGCTTCTGGAGCGCCAGCCTTGGAGAACCCAGAGCTGAATTTTTTCTGAGGCCTCAAGGCAGAGACCCCTTTCCTGGCTCACTGAGCTCAAGCAGGTTCAAGACCCATTCCTCTTACAAGAAGTCACAGTGATACACCCCTGCCCCGTGTGTCTCCCAGCCCCCTTAGCCTGACCTGCATACCTGCTCTCCCCCACACACTTGGAGTTGCTGGTGGCAGAGGCCACTGCAGCCTCGTACCAGTCTGTCTGCCTATTCCTGAACAGGACACAGGAGAAAGGGACTGGCTTTGAGGCTGAGCAGCCCCAGGAAATTTGTTGAGTTCCAAGACCTGATATTGGATGGCAAGTGGTCTCTTAGGGATTGTCCCTCTCCAGAAAAGCACCAGTATTTTTACTTAGTATGTCTTTGGAAGGGAATGGGTAGACAGTACAGATGTCCACAAAGTGACAGTTCAAACTTGACACTCATCCTTGGAGCAGACAACAAGGACAACCCTCATTGGCAGGCTAAGACTATGTGTCCTTCCAGTGCTGGGACATTCAGAGTCAATGCTTACTTACAACCCCAGGCGCCTGTGAGTCTGAGGCCTTATTCCTTTCTAAGCCCTGGGGGCAGGTGCAGGGATTCCCTCCTTCAGCCTGGGCTAGGCTCCCGGGACAACACCGCCCCTATAAAGATACACTCTGCTGGGGAAATACATGGACACAGAGCTGAACACCTACAGGCACAGCCTCCACACACACACACACACACACACACACATACACACACACTACACGGCTACAGCTACAAACACACACAACTGTACACACTGGGCTATATAGGCAGCTCCCTCACACACACACAAAGGGACATGTAGAGGTCTATAAAAGGACACACCCATCTCCCACCACCCCTACTAACAAACTAGAGAATAAACAAAGCCAAGGTGAACAGGGATTCACCAGGAGCTGGGACATCTTCCCCAGGCCTGGCCTCCCAGGGCTATAGTGCCTCCTGTTTATCCTTGGATCTTAGCTCAAGACAGCTGCCAAAGATGAGAGTGTCCAGGTCTCCACCCTGACTCCCTTTGGTTCCAACAAAGCCCATGCTGGGCCCTCCTACCTGGGACATGATGGGTGCTGGGCAAGAAATGACTCCCTGAAGGTGCCTCTGACAGACAGCAGCAAGGCAAGAGCTCTGCGTGGAGCCTGACCCTCTGGAGCTTATATAGCCTGCTGGCTCGTCCCCGTAAGTCACTCCCCTACCTCCGACGGGCTCTCCGATGATTCAAGTCCACACAGCCACTAGCTTCAGAGTTTATTCTCGGACATGATGGGGACAGCAGCCCTGGCGAAAGCAGACAGCTGGGGAGACCCTGCACCCTCGGGAACAGCTGCTCTACTTGCAGGTGGGAGGTGCTGGCACTAATGGCGACTGGCTGTGTTTATGAATGTGGGTCTAGGAATGTGTGTGACAGTTTGGCTTGTCTGTCTGCAATGGCCCATCCCAGTGTAGGGGGCTGTCCGTGAGGAGAGGGAGGGCCCTGAGCCGGGTTGGATGCTCTGAGCTTGTTTTTCTCTCTCTTCCGTTCTTTCCTGTGGATTTTAGTGGGAAGTGACTTTCTATCCCGAGCAGCAGCAGGGCAGAAGTTTCCAGTGTCTGGTGCTTGAAAGCATTTGCTTAGGGTGAGCTCACAGGGCCATCATGATAGACTCAGAGCAAGGGGCCACTGCTGGCCCACAGATGGGGAAACTGAGGCCAAGGGGACCCTGAGGGGCTGCTCCACCAGATTTTTGTGGATAACATCATCCTCTGCCCAGTTCTGGCGCATGACCTTGGAGACTGGCTCTCCTTCTAAACTGAAAGGGAAGAAGCAAGGTAGTGGGAAGGGGGGGGGCCAGGAAAGACCAGAAGATGCTTGACATGAGGGTCCCATGGACAGTCTCTGGGATAAGTCATAGGGGTGGGGTGGGGCTGACCAGCAGGACAGCTTAAGTGCTACAAGAGTCTTGGGAAGGAGTGAAGCCCACCCCAGGTATTGAGCTGTGCAGGGGACAGGCTCAAGGACCTCCTGCAAGGTGACTTGGTTCTCCTGTTTCCATCACCCTCATCTTTGTAGGGGAAGATCCCCAAGGCCACACAGCAGGGCTGAGCCTGGGGTGGTTGTGGGGAGTGGACATGATCCCCACCAGAGCAGACACACCCCAGTTCCTTTCCTGTTTGCAATGGAGATTATTTTTATCTTGAAGGCTCTAGCAGATGGAACTCAACCAGGCACTGACATTTGGTTATTCCAAATGCCACTCCACTGGTATCATACCTTAAGCCCCACCCCAATCCCCACTCTAGTCTCAGTCCCCAGGAGGCCAATGTGAGGATGGCCAGGCTCAGGCTGAGATGAGTGCTGACAGGAGGAATGCCAGGACTCCCAGGGGCAGTGCAGGGCATGCCAGGCCTGGCGAGGGCCCTTCCACCAGCATCAGGGTGCCAGCCGGGGCTTCAGCACTGCCCCACAGCTGGCTCTGCTAAGCCCATGGCCTCTGGGACAGGATGTGGGGTGCTCCCTCCTCACACCACCTCCCAACATGGCTCATTCCTCTGGAGGTAGAGTGGCTTAGTCTCTCATTAGCAAGGAAGTAGACACAGCAAAAGCACGTTTGATTTCTTTCCTTAGCAGACTGGCTTCACTGCTGCATGGGGCGATGTGATGTTCCTTCTCCTGCAGCTTCTTGGGGAGCCTTCTAACCCACCAGGGACATTGTTTTAAACTCCATTAATCTATTTCAACCCCAGAAAAAAACACAACCAACAACCACAAAAGTGATGGTTTCTTTTTTAAAAAACTGTTATAAGATGTCAAACTTTATTGTAAACCATTTTACAATATAAGTACATCATCTTCCCTTTCATTTCGACACTGTGTTTCTGTGACTTGTAACACCACTGACGAAACACCCTTGCTGGGATGGCAGCTGAAGTGGCCACGGTTCTGCTTACATAGGTCTGACTTCTAGTAAACTTCATGAAAAGAAAATCAAATTGAAAACAACCAAACCAATCAATGAACCAACCGACCTGCCCACCCACCTGCCCAGGAGCTCAAGGTGCTCAAAGCAAGTCAGACCAAAAGTCTCTCACCAGAAGCATCGCCCCTTGGGGCTGTCAATGTCTTACAAGGTAAAACAGAGCTCTGCCTCTTAGCTGGAGGGTGTGGAACTTCTAAGAGTCAGCCTTGTGCCCTATGAAGTGGCTGCTCTGTCTGGCCAGCAGAAAGCCCCCAGGGCAACCTGTCTTGACTTGCTGCAAAAAGGTCACTGAAGTGCAGTCCGGAGAGCTGAGCAAGACTTGCTCCCTCAGGGTCCTGGGCCAGCCTTCAGATGTGGACCCTGGTACACTGCTGAAGGGAAGTTATGACTTGCATTTGAGCCTTTTTATGTTCCCTGAAGAAAGAGGCATGAGAGGTGACATTAACCTAAGACTCCCTGTTACCAGGGAGGGCACAAGTGAAAGTTGTGGCAGGAGGCCATCACAGTGCTCAAGGGCTGAGGGGCCACAGACCCTCACCTTGCACATCTTCAGGCTGTGTGGACTGAGAAGCCACTGCCACCCAGGATCTCATCACCATCTCCCTTGCCATTGTCAATGTCCTAATGACAGCCAAAAGGAAATAACAGCAACAACCACCTTTTCCAATCAGATCACAGTTCTGCCATATTGGTTTATTTCAATAGTTACAAGAAACCTGACCTTGACTTCAAGCTTCCATCATGGGTGGCTTGGCCAAGGTTCCGATTTGGACAAATCAGATTGACCGTATACAATATTCCATCAGTATCCCATCATTTCTCAAGCACGGTGACGCCTGCCATTAGCCAGTGAAGGGCTGCACCTCGTAAGACAGGTGGTGAGGAAACTCATCCCAGGGAGGGAGGACAGCTCAGGAGGAAGTCCTGACCACAGCTCTCTGAGTTGCTTTCATGAGAGAGTGTGCCATGTAAGAGCCCCAGTGACTAGAGAGCTGAAGGCTCTCCCAGGGCACAGGAGGATGGGAAGGCCTAACATGTGATGATGCCACACTGTCCAAGCCCGCACACCAAGAGGCCCCTGGGATCAGACAGACTCCCTGTTCGACCTCCACCCTTGTCAGCCAGTTACACAGCTACAGCTTGGAGACTCAAGCCTTTATTAACAACAATCAGGACACAGGACACCACCAGCACTTACTTGCTACCTCTGTCCCTCAAGCTCACTGTTCAGTGGATGCTGGGACAAGCGTGGATATGAGGTCCTCTGAGGTGTACACAACCCCAAGTTTCCTTCTTTTACAGACAGTGGTCCCCTACCCCTGAACCTGATTTGGAAACACTGGGAACTCAAGACTGAACATGAAGCTTCAACTCAGTGACAGTCTCCCCAGAAATGCCAGTCTTGGGTCTTGCCAGTCACAGTAGTCTGGGGATGGGCAACCCAAGAGAGCCCCACTGGAGACGTGGTAGGGAAAGACCACAGTTGTGGAATGGGAGGAACCAAAGAGAGTGAATGAGAGCAGTAACATTGTGGGACCTGGGCAGGCTCCATCTCGCTCACTGCCAGCCTGTCCCCTCCTCTGGCAGCGATCCCCACACTGGTGGAGTCACCTCCTACTGCACAGCTACAGTCCATGCTCCTCACAGTCGTCTGCATTCCTGGAGGAAGAGGGTCTGAGAGGGCCTCCCTAAGCTATTCCACCATGTCCAAGACAGGCAGGACCACAAGCAGCAGCAGGCGACAGTTCCAGGTGCCTGGTTCAACAGTCTGGCTCACATACCACAAACACATTCAGACCCATTATGCTGAAGTAGAACATGTTTTTACGCAGGTTTAAAAAGATGGTTCTGGGTGGAATGGCCTCTGTGCTTGTCTCACTTGTAGCCCACATTATAGCAGTATGGTTTTCTGTTCCTAAGGGTCTGTGGCTGCCTCTTGGCATGACAAACCACTGGGCAACTCCACCCTGCTGCTTCCACAGCAGGAAAGTGCTGGGCTCAGCCAGCTCCACCTCTATTCAGCAAACTCTCCGGGCCACAGGGGTCTGTGGCCAGGCTGAGGAGCAGGTGCTACCATGTGAGGAGGGGCTGCAGCCTCTGGATTTAGACAGCAGGTTCTCTCACCTCTACCTGCCCACCCCAGCCACCATGCTCTGCAGAGTGGGGAAGCAGGGACTGAAAACAGGCTCGTCTGGCCATGTGGATGTTCTCCAGACTTCCATGTAAAATGAGCAGATAATAGCAGGTGACAGGCAACAGAAGAGGATTGACTCTGCAGGCTGCTGTAGTAGAGGCTAAGAGGCTGGGACTATTTTACACTTGAGATCTGGAAGCTCTGGGGAGAGGCAGGGAACAAACACAAGCAGCCCATGCTTTTGATTCCTCTGGACACAAAAACCTAACTCTTAGGCTCCTTTACCAGTTAAACCAAGACCTCTAACCTGCCAGCAGAAGTGACTGGGGTCCTGGCAGATCCCCTCCTGTTCCACACACTCTGAGGCACGCAGATCCACCTTCAGACCAGCAGCCTCATGCACAGACCTGACCTTCCACAACCATGGGTTCTGATTCCAGGCAAAGGCCGTCCACCTTGCCCCCTGGGGTCACTTGCCTCATCTTATCGTAGGACATTACCTAACAATATCCCAAGTAGAAAAACTCCTGACTTCTTCCTCCCACAGCTCATACCCCATGAAAGGCAAACAAATCCATTTCTTTGGGGATTAAAAAGAGTTTTTAAATACAATAGTATGAAAATATAACTTAAAAATATAAAAGTCAAACAGCATACGGAAGACTTAAAAATCTAGGTTTTGCCCATTAGTCCCATAGGTACTTTGTAGGAAATAAACACATACTCAAAAAACAGTTAACACTGTCATAGCTCATAAAACCGGCTTTAGAAATCAAGAGTTACAAAAGCCATTTTGAGTAAGAAAGCATTCCGGTTCCAACTTGGTCAGTGAGTGACTTTAGCCCCAAGCACGTCAAGTGTCCTCGCTGCCTGCAGCCTTGGGGAGAGACCCACCCGCGGTCTGTGCGGGCCTGTGTTTTCCTGTACCGCACCACCCGGTCAGACACAGGACAGGGGCTTCGGGGTCCCTCACAACACTGTGCAGGACAACAACAAACAAACAAAGCTCTTTGCTTGCATATTTGGTCAGTGTTTGTAGTGCAACTGAGCGGGGACCTCCAGCTGCCCATAGTCCCCTTGGGTGCTGGTTCCTGTTCCCTCTTTTTAAGTCACAGTAGTCTGGGGGTGGGCAGAGAGTGGGCAGAGACAGCGAGAGGAGTGGAGGTAGAAGAGGAGGGGCAGAGAGAGGAGGGAAGGGATGACGCTGTGGGGTGACCACCTGCTGACCCAGCAGCTGGCTGGCCCCAAACTTGTCACCCCCAGCATGGAATGTGTCATACAGGCAGCCCGAAGCGGTGCTTCTTTTTCTTCACAGGCTTGAGTGGGGTCAGTCTGCGGAGGTCCTCCTCCACGTCGGACTCCTCCATCTCATCATCGGCCGAGATCAGGATCTGGGCAGCGGAGAGGCACGGCTGAGACGTGGCAGCAGCCCTTCTGCGTTTGCCCTCCCTGGACCCCAGGCCCCGCCAGGAGGCCTCAAGTCTTGTGCTTCTGTGGAAGATGGTGACAGGGAGGCCCCCTTACACAATAAGACATGCTGGCCCACCGAAACCAGCACTGAGTCCACAGACCCCCACCCCCCACCCCCGCCTCTATGCCAGTGCTCCTCATTTCCCCATCTAACTCCAGCTGCACCCAAACCAACCACACCTCAGCAGAGACCTGAAGCCCAGGGTCATGCTGGCAATAAGAAGCTCAGCCTTGACACACGGAGTTCTAGGGCCTTGACGTTTCCTTAAATACAGGAGAAGCAAACTGAAAAGCTGCAGGGGAACATGACTTCCTACTCCAGGGACAGGGTAGTCTCACCAATTCTCCCCTGGACTGAACCCTTGAGGGCTCTCTGCTTCCAATCTCGGTCCCCTGATTAAACCCTCACTGGCTCCCTACTGCTTATACAAGCATGTCCCAGGTCCTCAGCCTACAGCACAAAGCACCTGCTCATCTAGCTCACACCTCGCCTGTACCTCACACTGCTTGACATTCCATTGTACACTCTGGAATAAACGCTGCTCTGGCCACAGTGAATTTCACATTATTATTCAGATGCCAAATGACTTGACTGAATGCCCGCCAGCTATTGCATCTGTGCTTCTGTGGAAAACAGTGACAGGGAGGCCCCCTTACACAATAAGACATGCCGGCCCACCATGCTGGCCCCTACCTCAGACTCCGACTCCTCGTGGGACGCCGCCCTTCGGTAGCAGACCTTGCTCCCATTCCTTGAGTTCTGGTGCCCATAATGCTGTTTGTCATTCAAATGTTTACCAAGCTCTTACAATGTGACAAGCTCTGTGCCAGATTCTAGGAATATGTACCCAGAGAAGGCACGGGCTTACTTTCTGTCCTACTACCTATCCATCTTCCAGAACTCCCTGCCTACTGCCCCAAGGTCCTCACAGGGTTTTGTTTGTCTGGGCTTCAGAAGGCTTTGAAAATGCCAGGATGAGCCATTTGTGTGTTACTCTGTCTGGATCATTTCTGTGGCTCTCCTGGTAGCACAGTGCTTAGCACGCCATGCAAGTTTCCCAGGGCCTCTCCTGAGATAGCTTCACCTCAGATGTGTGGCGCACAGCCCCTGAGCGGCTGCCAGACATAAGTTATTGCCTCTCTGCTGCTGTTCATGACCACTGCTCTTCCCTGAAGCTCAAACCTTTGAATTTTGGAGACTAGGAAATAAGGGCAGATGGGGTTGCCTGAGAGGTCTGGCTACTCCTATATTTTAGAAGTTTCCAGCTGGCTTAGCCAACGCTTTCCTTGCTTGTCAGTGGTGGGCAGGGATTCAATACCTTACTGCCTGAAGATCAACCATGAGGCCCAGGGGGGTCCTTGCCAGCTTCCCTGGAACTGGGCAGTTCCTCCCTTGCCTTTCTACACTGACAGGGAGACTGTTGGTGATAAGCCACCCCTCACCACATACTCTACCCTCCTCCCTAGGAAGGCATGTGGGACAGCAGTCCTGGGGCCTGGCTAGATGGGAATGGTGTGTGACCTGGGCTGCTCTTCACTCAGCTTCTTCTCCCTCCCTCTGGCTGGCGCTGTGACTCAGTACCCAAGAGAAGACCAAATGCAAACATTAGACCAGAGACCTGCAGGCCAGTGGCATAATGACCAGGTACTTAGAGAGGGTCAGGGAGGCCCCTACCTCAGACTCCGACTCCTCGTGAGACGCCGCCCTTCGGTAGCGGACCTTACTCCCATTCCTTGAGTCCTGGTTGGCTCCTCTCTCTTCTAGTTTAGCTTTCGTCTTTCCTTTTCTCATGAGGAAATTGTCCACTACCCAAAACATCAATGCCTGTGGGAAGAGAAATGCAGGTTACTTTGGGAGAAGCCACTTTCAAGGAAAGCAGAGCAGTCGCAGTCCCCATTTCCACCCTTTCTCAGCCCATTCCAGGTTACAAAATCCAAAGACAGGGAAAGAGAATCCAGCCCCCCTGCAATCTTCTAGAAGCTTTGAGAGAGATTCCCAGACCTTATTTCCTTTGCTGCAGTTTTCTCATCAGAGAACAGGGAAGAAAATCCCTGTCCTGCTCACCAAGGGGTTTCTCTTGGGACTGGCAGCCTGTCTTGGGCCCAGAACCAAGGTCTCTGGATACCTGCTCTGGGCCTGCAGAGGCCCTGTGTGGTGACAGCATATTCTGTGTATCTGTGTGTCCAGGTCCTTTTATCATTCCTCTCACTATTTCCTGGCTTTTAACCACTGTGCATGTGAGTTTCTGAGGACTGTCCTTAGGAATAACAATTGAGGCACATATGAAGTGATATATACATATATTTTTTAGTGATGCTGGGGATCAAACCTAAGGCATCACACGTACTGGGCAAGTGTTCTACCACTGAGCCACATCCTGAGCACCCCTCACCCTTGAGACAGGCTCTCACTAGGTTGCTGAGATTACAATTATGTGCCACTGAGTCCAGCTTGAATGATCTTGACCTAGAAGCTGGTGTCACACATGGGGTAGGATGCCTCCATGGTAGATCCCTAGCAGAGAGGGCAAGGACAACTTTCCTAGGACCCTTCATCTTGGACAGGGGCCCTGGAGCAGAAACCTGCCTTTTGAAGAAGCAATCCTGCCATTTCCAGGTCTTGGGGAGGGGAGTGGGGATGTGACAACTGGTCACACAGAAAGAAAGATCTGAGGGCTCTGAGTTTTCTGTCAGACTCAGGACTCTGAACAGGAACCCTGGAAGGTAGGGCACAAAGCAGTGTAAAACATGCAACACGGACGGCACTGACATTGACAAAGAAGGGGACGATCAGCATGACGATGGCCAGTTTCAGGTCTGGGTTTTCAATGGGATTCAGTAGGGCCACCTGTAAAGAGAAACAGATGCAGTGAGGTGGGAGACCACAGGGACAGGGCCCAGGAACTCCTGTTAGGGGGCTTAGCTTAGGTATTCCCCCAGAGTGATAAGACAGCCCTCACTCCTTGGCTGCAGTACCCAAGATCTGACTGTAAATAAGGGACCCTGTATTGAGCATTAGTGCTTTCACAGCTCTCCCCTTGTTGTGAACTTGCAAAGTGCAGTGTGCTTACAACCACTGAGCCAGAGCCAAGCAGTGCCCAAACAGAGTGGAGAGGGCCCCAAGCCTCCAACAGGGAATGCAGGCTCTTGAGAGCTAGAGGGAGGAAACTGAAATTCAGCAGATGCTCATTAGAGACATGAGCAACCAGGTGTCAAACCTCCTAGCAGAAATTTTGTACTCTAAACACCTCCCTCAAGACAACGGCTTTGAAATGCCCTGGCCTATTTCCTAAAAATAAGACCCAGCTATAGCCAAGAGCTGAGCCACTTGTTCTGGAAGACTCAGGTGGTTTCGCATAGGGATGAGCTTATCTATACAGAACTGGGGGCAGCACTGGGATCAGCTTATCTATGCAGCACCAAAGGCCAGAGCCAGGGGAACCCGTGGTCTCACCAGGGTATTGGCAGGATGGGAGACACAGGTCATGAAAGCTGTCTGTGGTGCCAAATGGCTAGCCAAGACAGATGTGTGAGGATGACACTTGGAAATGCAGAGACACTTAGAGTTGCAGGGTCTGAAGACTATATCCCCAGGCTTAATCTAGAGTAGACCCTATATCCATGGAGAGGACAGATGCCACATAAAAGAATGACAACTTAATAATCTTATAAAGAGTTGCCATATCAGACCAAATCTGGGGTCTGCTCATGAAGTTAAAACAAAAATTTAGCTTTCTAACAGGGCTGCAGCATGTGGGTAGTGGGATGAAGTACTGAGCAAGGACTGCTGGAGTGGGGATGGGAGACAAACCTTTTTCCACTGAAGTATGAGAAGGACGATGAAGACGACGGACTTTTCAAAGATCATGATCACGATGTAAAGGGCACACTGCCCAAACCAGGCCCCACACTGCAGAGGGTCTCCTGCAGGGACAGGTGGGTGCTCAGTCACACAGGCCCAGTATCCGAGTGAGATAACCCCCTAGCCAATTCCCCTACAGCTCCTCCTGAGCCCTCACATTCCCAGCCACACCCTAAACCCTAGTTCCAGAGGTTTATAGTGAGCCCCCCACCAAGGTCCTAAAAGATCAGCTTATTCCTAACAGACAAATGCAATTTTTTAAATAAAATCTGAGAATTCCTAATTTGGACATACTAAATTGGTATTCCATTCAAGAGATTCTAAGATAGGACTGAAAGGCCCTAAAGTTAGTGAGTGCTCACGGCTGGAGCTCAGACAGGCTGGCTCTCTGTCTGCTGGCAGCAGAAGCTGTGTGAAGCAAGACTGCTATTACTGTCCATTGTTGATTTTTCCAGTGGCCAGTTCTATCCTTCCTTTTCCTCTGCCCACGAGCAGACTGACGTCATAAAGGCAGCAATTGACCTCTTTGTTTGTCCACTACTTTTTATCTCCTATGCCTTATCCCACCCACTTCCTGGCCATCTCCACTGCCTCAGCAGAAATCTGACCTGGGAGGAATTCAGATTCCACTGTCTCAAATGGGTGACTTCCAAACACTCTGGCTAAGGACAAGAGAAGAGAGAAGCCTTCAAGGCCAAGGAGATGAGCTCAGGTCTGAGAGACTATGATGAGGGCTGATCTTTGATCCCAGTCATCACCATGACTGAGAAACTAAAGGGCCCAACAGTTCACACTGAGGGACACTCAGGCCCTGAAATGCCCCTAGAATGCTTCAAAAGGGACTCGATGAAGGGTGGAGGACCTGACAGTCCTTCTAGGAAATGATCTTCTGATATGCATATCCCAGGGAAGGGCCCCTGGGAGTCTCCCCACAGTTGGAGACCTGGGGACAGTGGGGTGTGAGGAAGGCCACCAGGTTGCCCTGGAAGCTCAGTCCAAATATCACTGGCCAGAACAGGAGAAGAGAGTAACATTTCAGGAGAGGCAAAATCTAGACTTTTGAGAAGAGAATTTGGCCCAAAGAGAAATTTCCAGCTTCTCATTTGAATCTACCGTTTCCCTGGCAATCCTTGTCCAGGCATCAATGCCCCAGGGCCCCAGTCTTGCCCAGGCATGCCAACTGTACTCAGGGGAGGCGAAAGAGAATGCCTTTATATAGCTGTAATGGACAGAATACCAGTCTGTTCCCTTTTCTGGAAAACAACAGAGAAGGGTGGCAGAAAGCCTGTAGAAACTCATCAGCCACCTCTTTGGAGTCCTTCCTGCCTGTTTTCACCTTTTCTGCAGGACATTAGAGCCTCTTCCCCAGGCTGAAAATGGAGTTTTGCAATGCTTCCGGTAAACCACCTGACCTTATTGAGAAAAGTTCTTTAAAAGAGCAGATGAAAATATTAGCTTCAATAAGTAACACTAGTGATATGGAAACAGCATGTACCATTGGGAAATGTCTCTGAATTGAGACTGGCATATCTGAAAGTCAGCGGAGCAAGTGGCAGCATTTACATACTGTCAAAAGAATACCCACTTGCTTTGAGTGTGCTCACTCTATTTGCTATTAAGCTGTGAATGACTGACTAAAGAGGAAATGCTTTTTTTCCCCATCTGCCTCCTTTCTGAGTTTCTGCTGCACACCTGAGCTGCTGCTGCCTTTTGTTTCAATCTCACTGCTAAAATAAGAAAGTTCCAAACCACAGTGAAAAGAGAAAAAAGTGCCCATGATCCTGCGTTGACATACTGCCTCCTGTGTGCTGGATCACATGAAATCATAGCCCGGATGAGTGCGCACGCACTTGTTTGTTTGCTTATTTCTGTTTCCCTTGAGTCTCTGAAACGCTCCTCAGAGTCCTGTCTTTAAAGGACAACATGATAGGTGTGGCAAATGTTTACTGCACTGTAGAACCTCATGTATACAGGTTTTGGTTTCAATGAATTATTTCCTCAGAATAAGTTACAGGAATAGGGAGCAAAAGGAGGCTTCTGGAAAGAATAGGGTGGGCAGCAAAGCCCACATGCACTGTGGACCTCATTTTCAGGGAGAGAGCAGTCTGGTCATCAGATTGCAAACAACATGTATCACCCAAATCTGATTCTTCCCAGACATGCAAGTGTGGCTTACTCCTCAAGTCCAGTAATCTTCTCTTCTAGGAACCATGAAAGCTACCTAGAAAACAAGCTCCTTTTTTTTTAATACCTGAGAAGAGAGCTGTGGAGCCCTCATGGAGCTACTACCTCAAATGGATGGGCAGGCTCACGTGCGTAATAGGCAGAATAATAGTCCACATAGATGTTTACATCCTAATCCCTGGAACCTGTGAATATGTCATGTTACCTAGCAAGGGTGGGGGATGATGGATGTCAATGGAATTAAGGCTGCTTATCAGCTGTATTTCAGATAGGAAGAAGGCGGGAGGTGTAACTCAGTGGTAGAGCACTTGCCTTGCATGTGTAAGAATCTGGGTTGAATCTGTAGTACCACAAAAACAAAGATTTAAAAAATAGTTTTTTTTTTAATATTTATTTTTCAGTTGGACACAATGTCTTTATTTTATTCATTCATTTTTATGTGGTGTTGAGGATCCAACCCAGGGCCTCGCACGTGAGAGGCGAGTGCTCTACTGCTGAGCCACAACCCCAGACCTAAAAAATAGTTTTTAAATATAGGGAGAGTATTCATAGTGTTCAGGTATACAACAAAGTGCCCAATGTAATCAAAGGGGACTTTCAAATAGAAGATGGCAGTAGAAGGTCAGAGCAAAGTCAGAGTAGTGTGATGTAAGACAAACCTGACGTTGAAAACAGGAAGAAAGGCACAAGCCATGGAATGCAGACAGCCTCTGGAGGCCACAAAGGGCAGCAGAGCAATCTCCCCTACCACTTCCAGAAGTATCTGGCCCTACTGACACACTGATTTTAGTTCAAGACAATCATATTGGATTTCTGAAGGAAAGAACTATAAGGTAATCAATTTGTGTTGTTTGAAGTCACTAAAGTCTATGTTAATTTGTTATAACAGCAATAGAAAACAACAAAATTTGACAACTAGAAAACAATGGGTAACAACAATCTGGGAAGGGAGGCCCTCAGTGGTCCTAATAAAGGGCAGCTTTCTCTGGAGATACCTGGAGTTATATGGAGAAATTCCCATTCTCAAGGGCACTGGCTAAGGTCAGGGAAGGGGCCCAGGGAGGTCAACCAGCATGAGAAGGAGGTGTAGACACAGCTATTGCCCTCCTCCTTTTCCACTGACTCTTCCTTCTGTCAGGGAATTGAGGGCCTCCTAATGCCTGCTATATCAGACCTGACTTGCACTCCAGGTCATACAGCTGATTGAGGGAATCCACCTTAGCTCTGGTCAGCTAGTTAAGTTGAGAGCCTTTTGGAAGGGATCTCAACAGCAAGGAAGTAGTTACGAGTACTGATCGTGGAGGTGGCTGGAGGGTTTGTGTATCTTGCTGAGGGCAAAAGGCCCCCAACATGTACTAGCCAGGTATGCTTTGTGTGCCACCTGACTCCTCTAAGCACCTTATCTATAAACAGGGATAATAATGCCACAGTAGTCCACATGTACCATGGTCCATTTCTGGCCTGCAAGTTGAGGAATCCATGACTTGGGCAGTCTCAGAAACCTTTCCTGGAGCCCAGGAGGCACATGCTATGTGCTGGACACTATCTTAGGTCAGTGACTCATCAGGCATCAAGTGTTGGGGCTAAGAAAAGCCCTCCTCTGAGCTCATCTCCCCTCCATGGGGATAAACAATTACTTAAGATTTCTAGAAATACCTAAGGCATTCACTGCCAGCTCCATGAATAAGCTGCCCTTTTAAACCGTCAATCCCTTAGAGATTTCTAGCCATCTAGAAGTTAGTGGCCCCTGGGCCCAGAGCCATGAGTTTTTTGGGATCTGCGGGAGACTGCAGATCCAGTATTCCATCCACACTCCCTCTGTCCCTCCATTCCTTATGCCCTCTCATGGCAAAGGTTCCAATGCTGCTGCTCCAACTGAGGAGAGGAGCTCCTACCTACAGAAAGAAAGGCCAGCTGGGACAGTGGAAAAGAGCTGATGTTACCCCTTAGTCCTGTTCTGACACTCCCTTTCATAGGGCTACATGAAGGCAGCTTGCTACTCAGGCTGTATCCATCAGAGTCTGACATAAGTTACCTGTTTTAAGCCCTGTCTCTGGGTAAAGATGGACTTGTGACTCTGGTGACTGGTACATGCAATGCTAGGTGGGGCTCAAGCAGTTGAGGGAAAGCAAGGCAATTTGGCCTCAGGGGGACGGACCTTTTAGACCTGGCTATGTGAGCGCCATTCACATAGGGCCTCTCATCACATGTGGGATGGCCTGGTGACCAGACAATCACAAGTGTATAGCAGAAAGAGGGGCAGGGCTTCCACCTCCCTACTGACCACCCCATTTCTCCAACATGGCAGGGTGAGCTCCATGAAAAGTCTGGCAGAAATAAAGTGGTCTTAGGGACTTGTAGGAGAGATTAGCGATCTCCCTGAATCTAGGGTATCTCCTGCCTCCTGCCACCTTACCTGACACCAAGGCAAGAGCCTCAGCAGTGAGGTAGGCACCCACACATACCCAGGAGGATGATGCTTAAACCCCAGAGCCAGCCCCTCCACCATACAAAGGAGACGGCCATCCATTCCCAAATCTTCTCTGGATCCCTCACTGGTAGGCAAGCAGCTCCCACCACACACCAGCCAGTGTTCATGGCACATTACCATATTCACCAAAACGCAGGGATTCCCACTGCTGCCACTCTACCAAGACACTGACAGCGCGCACTCCCACATAGATGAGCAGCATGCCCACAGTGGCGTCCAAGAGGAAGTTGATGAGGTACCTATGAGGAGAGGGCACATAAGCACAATCAGAAGCCAATAAGCTAGGCCCTAGGTACAGAGTTTCCCAGAGTTAGCAGTCAAGGCTGATGGAGGTACAGCCTGAGAAACTGAATGACCCAGTGTTTTTTTCTGATCTTGTTCTCGGAGGGGCTGGTAGCCTTGAATGTGCCCATGTGAGAGTCTGCAAAGGTTGCGTGCAGCTCTCAATTGCAGGTCCTTGACAAGTTACTAAAGTCAACAACTTGAGGGAGGGATAAGAGAGGGATGAAATGCTTAAAAAGTGTTCCTGTCAGGCCAAGATTGAACAGAAGACAGAGTTCCTGAAAAAAAAAAAAATGTCCTTCTGATTATTCTGATAACTCCCTGACGGTCCAGCTAACATAAGGTCTTGTGATAGTGCTGCTGCCTCAAGGCAGTTCTAGAAAATGTCTCCAGGGTTTTTTAGGCAAAGAGGGCAGGATCATGTGGCACATGTACACACAATACTTTTACGCTTTAGAGAGAGTTTTACCCCCTGGGACAAGGCCAAAGGACTGGAGGGAGAAGGCGGGACCAAAAGGCATGCCCACAGTGACCACATGTTCTGCTAAGATCTGTTTCCACGGGGCTGACACAAAACCCTTTCCCTCTCCAAGGTAAGACCCATCTTCCCTCCCTCGAGGGCGCTAAACCCAGATGCAGTTGAGCCCTGCTGACCACAGGCCCCAGTTCTCTGTTACAAACTATGTGGAAGACAAGGTCACTGGATTAGGTACTGACCCACTGTGATACCGCATGGCTTTGACAACTCTGCAGATAGACCCCAGGACACTGTGAAACCCAGCTGCAGTGTTTTGAGCGGCCACAGCTTGAGGCACTTTATGAGGATTCCTGGTCCTTCATTCCAACCCCAGCTTGTGCTTGCAGAGCACTCTGATCCCAGACAGAACATGTTGTCTCCTAGCCCCAGGGGCCAGAAAATAAGCCTAGAGAGGGAGGGGGTGGTGTTTTTCTCCTGCCTGTCCTTCCTCTTTAAAATCACAAGGGGTCACTCTCAGATCAGAGACAGAAAGAACAGTGCTGGCTGCTAAGGCAATTTTTCCTCCGGTGTGAGGCTATAAGGCTCTCGGATCTAATTGGTGTAGAGTGCCTCTCACACTTAAGTCCTTACACTTGAGACCCAGCCTGAAAACAACAAGGATAACTGATACACACACATGCCTTCTGGTCATTCATTCACTCGCCAAATACTTCTTGAGCCTACTATGTGCTGTCCTTGGGAATAAAGGTCAAGTTCTACACTATGCTCAATATAAGGGAGAAGGGAAGACAACAGGGAGTTATGCAGGCCCTGGAGCCAATCAGGATGTATTTGAGTCCAGCTCTATCACTCCTGAACTGCATGAACTTAAGTGCCATTGTCTCTCTGTGTCTCAGTTCCCCAACTGGAAAGTGGGGATAATCACAGTATCTACATGGCAGAGCTGCTCTGTTGATGAAAGAAGGTAAGAGATGGGGCTGGAATGAAGTAGGTGAGCCTCCTTTCCCACTCCATCTGCTAAGAGAACCATTCAGGTGCTACCGGCAAGGAGGTCAGCATTTCAGGGCCCAATTAAGATTTTAGACAGATGGCCCTGGGAGCTGTGTGAAAGGTGTTTTTCCAATAATAAGGCAGAACAACCCATGTTCTTTAGGCCAAAGAGGTCAATAATAGTCAACAGTTTGAGACCACAGAGAAGCCCCTCTCTGTCTTTTCTGGCACAGAGACATTCCTGCAGGGCATGTTGCTGGGAAGCTGGGTGACAGAAGGGCACTAGAAAACCAAAGGAGGACTGTGAACTGATTAGAAGAAAGCCAGTGTACCAGGCAACTGTCAAAGCCCTGATGGCCAATGGATGGCTGGGTATGTGAGTTCATGGGTGGTATGCACAGGATTGGCCATCAGAGGAATGTAGAGGAGAAATGGTGACCCCCTCTGCACCCTGGAGGAGCAGGACTGGTCACAGAAAGCAAGACCAGCACACATTTTCAATGGAGGACTGACAATGCCTGCACTCAAATATGGGTCACTTACAGTGAGCAAGGGTCCTCTTCAGTGAGATCTGCCAGGTACACATTTGCAAAGTGGATGAACAGCATCCCTATGGCTTGTTTGGAAGTATCTAAAAACCTGCACAAGACAGAAACAACACCTGTGACCAGTCTGACAGGAAGGTATTTGGAGAAAATGAATGGACCACAGAAATTATCTGGAGGCTGGAAAAACATTCCTAAGGTCAGTGTCAGGGAAGAGTCACTAAAGAACAACACAGAGAGCAGGACACACAGAGCTCTGAGCTGGGTCCCTCCCCAGCCCAGATTTGAGAGAACCAATGGTGGGTGGGTATAAAAAATTTGAAGATTTATCAACATTCAGCAGTGATGTCTATAAGAACAAGTGAGTACATGATTAAAATTTTGTAAAAAGTCTTTATCTCAGTGACTCATCAAGGTTTCCTTTGAAGGAAAGTGATGTTTTGTAAAGGCAAAAGCAAATCTAAGACAGCCTAAGGCAGCTTCCTGTGGACACCTTGCTGTCCTAAAGAGCTGGCTGTCTCCTTCCAAGTGATTTATTGCCTTGGAGTTTTGTCCCTAGAATCTATTTCTGAAGCTTTACTACATACTGTAAATAAAATACTGCTACAGTGGGTTCATTCCACATGAAATAAATATTTTTAGGATACATATACAAGGAGTACACTGGTCTTTGCCCCTGGTTCCTGACACAGCTCCTTGACACTGAGTGACAGGGATGCTAAGAACATTTTTTACCCTAATATTTGGTTCGTATCATGTAGTTCCTAATCCTTTGGAATTTCCTGGATGATGGAAGCATCTTTTGTTCTAAGCAGGTGACTTTTTGTGGCTCCTGGATGGCTTCAGAATGGGGAAGGTCATGAGAAAGACCAAGTCATGATGAGAAGCTTAGAACTTGAGGCCCAACTCCAATTTTCAGGGAGAGGAGAGGGGCTAGAGATTGAGTTAATAATTAATTATGCTTACATGGTGATGTCTGTGTATAAACACTTAAACTATGAGGTCTGAGCGCTTTAGGGCTAGTGAACAAATCCACACTCAGCAATCCAAGGGACAGAAGCTCCTGTGTCCAGAAAACTTCCAGACCTTACCCTCTATATCTCTTCAACTAATCATTCATCTGTATCCTTTATAATAAATCAGTCAATGCAAATAATGTTTCCCCGAGTTTTGTGAGACCATGCTCTAGTAAATTACTGAAACTGACAGGGGGTTGGGGGAACCCCAACTTCATAGTCAAGTTAGTCAGTTCTTAAGGGAATGCACACTCCTGATTGGCACTGGAATAGGGTAGCCGTCTTGTGGGACTAAGCCCTCAATCAGTGGGCTCTGTGCGAACTCCAGGTGTGTCAGAATAGAATTATTATTGCACACCCAGCTGGTATTAGATAATTAGAAAACAGGTTGGTGTTAGGGAACCCCCCCCCACACACACACTTTATGCTTTAAAAGTACTATGAGTAGAGAAATAGTTTTTCTTTATTCTAGGACCAAGGAAGACCAGTTTTGAAGAGAGTAGTTAGATCTAATCTCCAAATTTTTATTTTTTGCTTAAACATATGGACTGTAGAATCCAAGACTTTGAACATTATCAAGACTTTGAACAAAGATATCTGGAGAAGAGACTGATGCATCTATTATTATTTTTCATCTTCCAACATTGGAAGCAGCGTGATCATAAAACAAAGGTAGGGATCAAAAGTCATGTGGAAAAATAGGACTGCTTTCATATCACACACTGTTCCCAATGATAACTCAACTGAGGAAGTCCAGACACTATTATGTATAATTTTTCATATTTCATCCCCTATGAGACCCAACCCTGTCTCCCAAAATCCAACACACTCAAAAATATTTTAGGAATGAGTTAGTGTTTCAATACATACCATATTCTCCATGGACGTCTCTCATGCTTTGGTTCTCTGAAGCGTTTGACTGGAAGAAAAGAAAGACATCAGTAACTTTCCAAAGCAATAACACAAAGCAAAATGCACCTACAGTTGGGTTATCAATCTGCTCATTGTTTATTAAGTTCAGCACTTTCTATTTTAACATGTGACAATATACAATAAGTCAGTGAAAGTCACGGAGGCCCTGCATTGCTGACGACCAGCATAGGACCCTTCAGAACTGAATACTAACGAGAATGACTTCTTAGTGCATGTGCAAAACTGTATTTACTTCTTTGTGACAAGTCTCACTCAGACAATTACTAGAAACAATGAAGTAGAAATTAATTGCTTCTAACTTTGGGAAACAATCTAAGGATAAATTCACCCAGATGTTTACCAAGTGCCTACTTCAAACAAGGAATTGAGGAAGCAAATGTAAAGTCAGCTGACTAGCAACAAGGAAAGACAGACACATAACCAGTGATAGAGAAGAGGTGAATCTGAGGCTGAAGGACAACCAACCCTGCCTGCCTAAAGGAATGGGCATTGGGACAGGCCACACCGATGGAGACAGTCAAGCCAGGTCCTGAGGCCAAGTAAGGGTTTGCTACCAGGGAGGGAGAGAAGATCTATTCTGGACAGGCAACACCATGAGCTCACAGGTACAGGGCAGAGCACAACAGAGTATGTTTGGCATACTTGAACTTGGCTTCAATTCAGCATAACTGATACTGCCGGGAAAATAGCAGACTGGAGGGGAACACACTGAACAGGAGCCATGTGAGAGAAGGGCCAAGGGGTCTGGAATAAATCCTCTAGGAAAGGAAGAGCCAAGGAAGAGTTCTAAGCAGACTCAAAGACATGCTGGAATTGTTTTAGGAAAGTGGCTCTGCTAACTACAGAAGATGGGCTTCCTGGGGTGGAAGGGACGGAGCAAGGATGCTGGTTGTGTTCACAGCAGGAGGCAGTGGTACTCCAGCAGAGGAGAGTCAGGAAGGTAGAATTCTCATTTAACACCAACCTGCTCAGCCTCGGCTGGCAAAGGACTCAGAAGAATTGCCCCCGTGCCCTGGGTTGCCTGCCAACAACCATCTGAACCAGAGGAAATAGTTTTAAGTCCACATGTCCCTCACTGAAGCTCTTGGCAAGTGTTTCCACACTGATTCTATCTACCAAAACACACAGAGAAAGTGCCGCCTGGTGATGTTTTCCCACACAAAAGTACCAAGAAAGAGAGAGACACTGATGTAAGTCCGCAGAAGAGGCCTCAATACAACTGGTAGCAGGCGAGAATCAACTTCTGGTGGAGTCCTGAACTGCCAGGGAGGTGGAGGGTGATGAACAGCCCTCAAATCAACAAACCCCACTTTCTGAATAAACACAAGCAGTTCACATTTGGCAAAGCAAGGACTGCCTGTACAGAGAATTAAAATAACAAGTCTGGTGTTTAGAGAATGTTGATATAGAGACCAAAAAAAGCAGGTGGAATTGCAAGGAGGTCTGTCATCTCCTTGACACATCACAGATTCGAAACCTCAACAAAGCCAAAGAATCTGGAGATGAGGCCAACTGATTCTACTGGCCTGAATGACTCTCAAAGGCAGGAGTAATCCCAGTTATTCATTTCCATGAGATACAAGCTGAAGTATCAGAATGGCTGCAATTTACTTACTAGTGGTTTAGGGAGGAAATTACACAGTAGATATGATTATATACATTATATATACAAAATATGATACATGATAATTATAAGCCATAAATATAAATGTATTTTATAATATACTATAGCAATCAGATACAATACATATACTAAGAGAAAGATGAACAAATGTGGTCTTATGGGCTGAAGCCTGACTAAATCGTATGCTGAAGTCCTACAATCTCCAGTATGTCAGAATGTGACTGCACTCGGAGATGGGGGTCTCTAAAGAGGTAATTAAGGTTAAATGAAGTCATATGGGAGGGTCCTAACTCAATAACAACAGGTGTCCTTATAACAGGAGATCAGGACACAGATGTCAAGAAAAGACACGTGAGGATATAGTAAGAAGGTGGCCATCTACAAGCCAGGGAGAGAGGCCTCAGCAGAAAGCAAACTGGCTGATTATCACCTTCACATTCCAGTCTCTAGACTTGTGAGAAAATAAAAGTCTATTGTTTAAGCCACCCAGTCTGTGATATTTTGTTATGGCAGCTTGAGCAAAATAATTCAGCTGATAATACAATAACTGGACAAGGCAAAGGATTCTGAGAATTTATTATATTAGTATTTAGACTTTAATGTAATTTTAATATTTTTCCAAATAAAAAGTTGATGGAGAAAACATACTCCAGAAGAATAAACTAGTACAAGCACTCAAACATCAACTTGATAATATCTATCAAAAATTTAGCTGGGTACGGTGGTGTATACCTGTAATGCCAGTGCTTGGAAGGCTGACACAGGAGGATCACGAGTTCAAAGACGGCCTCAGTAAAAGTGAGATGCTAAGAAACTCAGTGAGACCTTGTCTATAAATAAAACACAAAATAGAGCTGGGAATGTGGCTCAGTGGTTGAGTGTCCCCGAGTTCAATCCCTGGTACCCCTCTTCCAAAAAAAAAAAAAAAAAAGAAACACTGGGATTGGGGTTGTAGCTCAGTGGTAGAGTGCTTGCCTAGCACATGTGAGGCACTGGGTTCGATCATGAGCACCACAAAAAAATAAATAAATAAAATAAAGGCATTCTGTCTATCTACAACTAGAAACCTTTTTTAAAAAATTTAAACACCCATGCCTCTTTAACCTACAAAGGAATGAATTCTACAAGTATGACTGCAGATGTGCCAAGATGGATAGGGATGTTACTGCAACACTTTCATAACAAGAATCTGGAAAGAAACCAAGGCCAATAAATGTTGATACAGGATTAGTAGACATCATAGCACATAGATACAATACTAAGCAATTGCTAAAAACAAGGTAGATCTAGATGGAGTGACATGGAAAGATTTTCAAATTATGCTAATAAATTGTAAAATAATATGTTACTATGATTTTTTTGTTGTTGTTCAAGTCAAGTGTGTGTGGTACTGTGGGCACTCAACCACTGAGCTACATCCCCAACCCTTTTTTATTTTTGAGACATGGTCTCACTAAGTTGCTGAGACTGGCCTCAAACTTGTGGTCTTTCTGCTTCAGCCTCCTGAGCTGCTAGGATTACAGGTGTACACCATCAAGTCCAGCTCAAGTCCATTTTTTTTTTATACCTTTAATTATTTATTTTTATGTGGTGCTAAGAATTGAACCCAGGGCCTCACACATGCTAGGCAAGTGCTGTACTGCTGAACCGCTGAGCATGACCCCAGCCCTCAAGTCCATTTTTAATGGATATATATTTTTGCTGGAATGATGCATATATTCCCCTACAAGGCTGCATAAGTGACTATTAACAAGGGCTAACTTTGAAAAAAGAAATATGGATCAGGAAGTGAACTTTCTTTTTTTTAATTAATATTTTTGCAGCTGGAGATACAAGCCAGGCCCTCATGTATGTTAGGCAAGCCCTTTACTATTGGACTATACTCCCAGTCTGCAAGTAAACTTTTTGTGTTATTGCAAATGGTTAAATACTCTTTTGTATGTTAATATTGCTTTTACTTGAAACTTGAAAAAGAAGAGACAAATCTGTCTCAGAGGTTTGTGCTAATGCAGTAAAATAAGTCTGGCAGGTGAACCAGTGTGACTTGAGGTAGGCTTTGGGCCAAAACAGAAGTGGTGTGTAGGTATACAGGACAGTGCCCTGGGGGCAGTCACACATAGAAGCACCACTGGCGGTAATCAGAATGGATTCAGGTTCTTCTACAGAGCAGAAATGTAACTCCTACTGTCTTTCTCTCCCATCTTCTTTCCCTGGAATATTCCAGTTAAGAATTAATTTTTTAAATTAAAGGAAGAATAAGAGAGATGTTTAGATTCAATTTAGTAAGGGGAAAACAAAACAGGAAAGTTTGTTATCTGTCCTGTCATGTCTCATGAAGAGGCCTGCTCCACTGGCAGGAGAACCAGAGGAAACCCTTGCCTTCTGTGCACTCTGAGGAGCCTAGGGGGCAGGGGGTTTGAAGTATGAAGCACCTCAGCCTGGGAAGAGGTGAAATCTGCAACAAGGAAGGAGAGCAGGGGGAAGTGGGGCTGGCGAGCAGGGTGTAAACTTATTTGAGAGGGTCCAGGAAGTGAGCCAAGACCTGAGGAAAGTTTAATGAGTCAAGGGTCTCTTCTAGGTCTGGGCTGAACCTTTGTGGACAGTGGGTGGAGCCCACTTAACAGGCTCATTCAGCTGCTGTGCTAAGAAGAGCCTGAAGGGGGTGATATGGGAGCAGGGAGATCCATTAGCAACCAAGACCATCAGTGATCCTAGGCCAAAGGAAGGCAGCTTGATCTGGCAGCAACAGGAAGTTTGGAGAGAAGAGGTCAGGTTCTGGCTGTTTCTTAAACACTGAGCTCACAGAGTGGCTGTGGGGCTTGAGATAAAGGGAATGGTGAGGAGGACTCCAGCAGTGGAAATGCACACCTGTACTACTGAATAGCAGGTTTTGTTTAAGTGTGGTGGTGGTGGGTAGTGGGTGGGGGATGCACTGGCTCTTCCTCACCATGTGGCTCTGGTTGGCAATGGCTTCACATACTGCTACTTTCAGATCCAGGAGGTGCTGAAGCACAAGTAGCAGCACTTCTAGAGGAGGAAGAACTGTGGTAGGGTGGTGGCCAGAGCCTTTGTCAAATGTACCTGGACTTAAGGTTGAAGGAGGAAAATGGGAGGGCCCTATGGATTAATCAAATTACAGCTGCTTCCCGGGAACATGACCTGAAGTACCCAGTATTTGTTGTCAATTCAGTGCCAGTTGGAGTTCAACAGGGAAGTACTTGAAGGCCTGGATGTCTATGAAGACTTTCAAATCTGGGGCTGCTCTGGCCAAGAGAAGGCAACAGCAAGGGTTTGCTGCTGCCTTTGGGAATGAAAAGGAGCCAGAAAGCCTATTCTCGAGTGGTGCCCCAGGATCATAATAA